GTGAACAGCACATATACTATTTACAGATTGGAGTCACATAACAATAACAGAACTTCTTCATGATTGCAACATAGAAAAAATGGTTATTACAAATTCCACTTTTCCCAAGATACCACACCTTACTGGCAGAAGTCTTGTCTTTCATTACAAATAAACAGAAACTACAGCTTTGCAAAATGTGCTTTTGCAATGCTGGAAATTTGTCAGTGAACAACTGATGAATTGTAAGCAACCAAGCTGACTGAATACAAATAACAACTTCCCATGGGACAAGTTAAATTTTGTGTGAAAGAGATTACAAACCCTTTATTTAATTTCTTTAAAAGCATCTCCCATTGTTAACAATGCCTGATACCTTTATTAAAAGTTCCACTCTGTCCTGTTATAATTTAGTTAGAAGTCATAGAATCATAGATTTGAAAGGGATCGTCAAATTTTTTTGGTCCAACTCAGTGCCTGGACAGGAATCCTCAAACCATCCTGGATAAATGGCTGTCCAATCTTTTCTTGAAAATCTCCATGATGGATTAACTCCAGGAGTAGTCTGCTCTATTTTTTAATAGCTCTCATGATTAAGAAATTACTGTATTTTTCCATGTATAAGACGCACCCTTGTATAAGATGCCCCCCAATTACTGGTACTTCTCAATACCACCACACAATCAGATGGCACTCTGTGGGCTTAGTCCCGCCCACCCCCTTGGCTGTCAATCACTGTATTGAGGCGGCTTCCCAGGGCCTCTTGTGGCTTCAGCCCAAGCTGCACCAGGTCATAGAAGGCGGCTTCAGTGGGACCAGTGGCATCCTTGGGGTAGCGCGATCCAGTACCAGGTAGCATCTCGGGCCAGCGATATCCTCCTGCACCAGGCGGCATGGCAGCGGTATGTAAAGAACCCATATAGGCATGCCCTGGGCTGCAGAGGTTACCATTATTTTTTTGTGTATAAGACACTGCACTTGTATAAGATGCACCTGATTTTTGAACGGTGTTTGCAGGAAAAAATAGCGTCTTATACATGGAAAAATATGGTATTCCTTATTTTGAATTTGGATCTCTTTCTGTAAAGCTTCTACTTGTTGCTTTCAGTTGGGCATTACAGAGAATAAGTTCACACCCTTTCCCTTGTGAGAGCCCTTTAAACATTGGAAGATACCTATCATATCTCCCCTCAGTCTTCTTTCAGTTAAACATACCCAGTTCATAAGATTTAGCCTCTTCTTTTTAGTCCCTCTGTATCCTTCTTTTATTGTTGTGACTAATATACTAATTGCAGTGAAGCTTAGAGCAGAAATATAATTTTACATGCTCTCAATATTACGTTTCTATTGATGCAACTTAAGATTACATTGGCTCTTTTGGCAGCTGCAGCACATTGGTGGATCTTCCTCACACGTACTATTACTGAGCTACCTAAATATCTATCTTGTACATCTGATTTTTTTCTACCTCATTACAGAACCCATATTTCTCACCACTGAACTACATTTTGTTGGGAAAGATCTTTTTAACTTGATCTTTTCTCCCAAAGTGTTAAAAATCTCCGTTTGGGATTGTCTGTAAATTTGCTGACCATCCTTTCTTTCCCTTGCCTATGTCATTTATAAAAAGAAATGTTGAAGAGCATTATAATAGTATCTATAGTGACCTTAGGAAAAATGGAGCAAAGGGAGAGCCAAGGGAGTGGTTGCAGCTTAGCCTGCAGCAGGAATGTGGGCATGGTTAATGTCTCAAAAAGGGCTTTCCCTAGTTTCTCAGGATATAAAAGCAATGGAAGAAATATACTTTCAGATTTGCAATATTCTGTTTATATAACTTTAGTGTAAGTAGAATTAGTTATCTGGGTCTGCTTCCTATCTGGATTACCTTACAACACTGGGCCCAAGAGAGAATTCTGAGGTATTTCACTGCATATGTCTTTCCATGTGGACATGGATACATGTTAAGTATGGTGATTCATACTTAATGTGGTAGGAGACCATCTATCTCACAATGTACTATTTTATCAAGAAGGCAGCTATGGTAAACTTAATCAAATGCCTTATTGGACTCCAGGCACACTGCTTCCAAAGCATTTCCTTGCTCTACTAATTTAGTCTCTGTCAAAAAAAACACTTTTTTTAGTCTGGCACAACCTATTTTTAACAATTCCATACTTCTAGTAATCACTTGTTCCTTTCTAAACACTGGCAGACCCACAGCTTGATATTTTCTAGGTTTTTTCCTGATGTCAAGCAAGCTGACTGATATATATTTTTCTGGCTCCGCTATCCCTCCCACTTTTTAAGATTGGAACAATGTTAACTTTTCTCCAAATTCTGGCATCTTCCCTGTACTCTGAGTTCCCATCAGGTTCCAATGACTTGAATTCATTAAAAATAGCTAGGTGTTATTCTCACCACTTTTGACTTCTATCCCCTATGGTGTATCTTCTGATAGGCTGGACCACTTTTTCGTTTTGTGAAAAGACAGATGAAGATGGAAATTAAACAGTTCAACCTTCTCCCTGTGAGCTATCACCCCTTGCCATGTTTCCCAACCAGTAGACTAACTCCTTGTTCCGCACATATCCAAATCCGATAAGCCTTTTTCCTTTTGTTATTATTATATTCACTGCAACACTCAGCTCATTCTGAGCTTTAGTCTTCCTGATTCCATCCTTGCAGATTTGGGCCATTTCCTGAGATTGGACTTTTGTCATATACCCCTCTTTCTATATTTTGAAACGTATCCTTTTTGTTTGTAAGATCATCAGATAGATCTTTATGCATCGTTGTCTCAACTTTTTTTCTTATTTGGCATTGTTTGTGCTTATTTATCTTATTTTTCAGAATTTCTCAACATTTCTGAACACTTTTTCTTTCAGGAAGTCCACCTTTGGAATTCTTCCTACTGTTCTCCTTAGCTTACTGGTCAGCTTTCTTGAATCTAGAATACTAACCTAACTACCTTCAGTTCTTCCTGCCTGCAATAAGGTGAATTCTAGGATCACGTGATCAATATTTTCCAAACTTCCTACAACTTCAATTTCCTCAACCATTTCTTTTTGCTAGTAAGTATTAAGTACAGTACAGGTGATCCCGTAGTTCCCTTTCCCACCTATTGGACAATAATGCGGTCTGCAACATTATCATGATCATTATTATGACCATTATTGTTTGTTTTTCTCTTAATATTCACCCATACCTTTGGCAGGGTTTTTAACCTTAGTTTCATGAATTTTCACACAGGTGTAGTAATTGTTTATATATAATGCAACCCTCCCTTCCCTTTCATTGAGTTTGCTTTTTTTTAACAAATTATATCCTTCCAGTATTGTATTACAATCTTGAGTTCCATCCCACCGGATTTCTCTAATACAGGGGTTCCCAGCCTTGGCAACTTTAAGACTTGTGGACTTCAATTCCCAGAATTCCTCAGCCAGCTTTGCTGGCTGAGGAATTCTGGGAGTTGAAGTCCACAAGTCTTAAAGTTGCCAAGGCTGGGAACCCCTGCTCTAATACCACCAATGTCATATTTATGTTCTCTCCCTCTTCTCCCTGTTTGTTTCCCGAGCCCTTTAGAACTGCCCTCCTCCTGCTGGTTTTCCTGGTGTATTCTTTCTTTGCTACATGCCTTCAGGCTTATGGAAGTGAGTGTGATTTGGGTATTGGTCCCCTTCTCCAGATTTAGTTTAAATATGCAAGGTGACCTAACCAAGAATTTTTTTTTTCCAAACACAAGGTTGGAAACTTTTGTGAGGTGCAGCCTATCTTTTACCAAAAACTTTTCTGTAGACCATGGTCCAGGAATCCCAACATTTTCTGAGTGGCACCATTTCTTGAACCAGCAGTTCAAATCCTGAATCTTCTGTACTTTTCTTGGGCCATGGCTTTTAGTTGGAAGCACGTATAAAAAAATCATCTGTACTCCAAACCCACTCCAAGCTCTTTGTAGCCCTTCAATATGCTTTCCAGGTTCTTTTTGGAAGTAACATTTGTTTCAACATGAAAAAAAAAGATAATGGTCATTATATCTGCTTAGTCAAGTCAGAACTCTAAAACATTACAGATATCTGTACCTGGGCAACAATATACTGCCTCTCAGCAGTAAATTACCCTTCAGGGAAGGTCCTGAAACTGTCCTTTGATTCTTTAAGTTCTCTGCTGTCAGTCCAGAAGCTCATCATCTTCCTTGATGAGTCTCAATATTGCCAAATATATCTTCAGGCTCTGTTGCAATGCAAAGAGTCTGCACTTCTTGGAAGTGTAGTGGGAATCCTCCTCGGGCAGGAACCCAAACTTACAACAAACTTGGAGATGATCATAGAATTTACTTCCTCGTCCATGTCTTTATGGTTCCAGAAGACTGTGCAATTCCAAACAGTTATTTCTTATCTAGACTCTCCAGAAAAAGGAGTGGCAATTAATAGATTTCCTATGTTTTGACAACTAACAGTGTGCAATCTCCTAGCTTGAGCAGATAAGAAGCCCAGTTTCTCTGCTGCTCAAGGTAAACTTCTGCTCACTTCCCAGAATATTTCAGAACTATGCAAATTATTTTGATGTTGGATGTGACATCCATGGAGCTCCAAAGAGTTATTCTCAAGTAGCTGAATACCGTATAGAAGGGCAGTCTCTTTGGGCCTTGGTAATTCTCCAAGTCCCAAAGGTATTTTGAAATGTGAGAACTGTTACAAAACTTCTTTTTTCATTTCATTTTTATTCTTTCCACTGTAAATGTAATGTTGGAAAGAGATTCTGTGAAGAAGCTGGGATTCCCCTAAATCTGAACCAAATTATACCAAATCTGGTGTAGATAGGAAAAATTAACAAAAGAAAGATAAGAGTTAAAAAATGGGCTGGATTCAGCCTGGTCCTGCAGAAAAGAAAATCGAGAAAAAACCCATAATGAATCCTTATGGAAGAGGCAAATTGGGCAGCTGCTCAGAAAGCGGCTAATCTCATTCTAAGCCCCCATTCCACTGCCTTCCAGGTCACGTGACCAGGGCACTACTATGTTTTTTAAGAGGCTGAAAGTACTCCAGAAGTCCAGTTTAGAAGGGTTTCCCTCATTTGTCTAGGGGAAAAGGCGTGACGGGGATGAGACCGAGAACCGGCTCGCTGTCCAGAACATGGATGCTACATATTTAGGTTACCAAGATCGCGAGTGGAGGCGCTTTGGCACCGAGGCTGCAAGGCTACATATGCCAGTTGTACTGCGGAGTGAACGCTTGACTCTCACCGAAGAACCGAAGCGGATCAGGAAGGTCTGCGGGCCGGAGACTAGACCACCAGCACCCGCCGGCCGCAGGAGATGGACTTTCTCTCTGCCTCCGAAACGGAAACAGAGCAGACGCGACGGTGGCACACCAGAACCCGCAGCTCGCAGGTGCGCTTGGGGGCAAAACCCTCGCGCGTTGCTCTGAGGCTGCTGGTGGGGACGGCCTGGGACGGACTCGAAAAATATGCCGCGGCAGTTGCGCTCCTCCCTTTTTGGTGTGGAGGAGCTACCGCCGCGCCTCCTTCGCCCGCGTCACGGAAGCTTCACTTGCAGCTGCAACTGTTTCTTCGCGCTTCCTTTCTCAGAGGCACCAACTGGGGCGCCAGGGCAAGAGGGGGACCGGCCACGTTCGCGCGCGGCCAGGCCAGGGGGACACCCTGCTCCCTCTCTCGGTCGGAGCGCAGCCAGGTGGGGTCTCGCTGCTCCCGCGCGACGGCGCTCTCCGAAGTAGAGTTCACTTTTCAGAGAGGCAAATAACTTTCCATCTGTCTTCGCCCCGCTGGAACGAGACCACCCTTTCACTTTAGAAACCAAGGCTGGCCAGCCTTGAATGCCTGCCTGGGAATATTTTCGTCTGGACGGTAATGTAAATACTTTCCACCCTATTCTTCCCCCATTTCAGTTTGGAATTGGCTTGGCTTTGCTCTTCAGCACTTGGTTTCGGAAACTCAGGCAGTTCTTGGGTGGTTCCTGTGATTGCAGAGGATGTGACTGACCATTTCCCTAATTTAATGTTAGCATGTATGTAAAACTTTTGCAACATTCTGTCTTTACAATACAAGATATTAAGTTTGCTTAACTTCTGGGAGCCTGGCTCTAAGAGGCTGGCTGCTTAGAATAACAGGCTGAAGAAACCCTTCTCCCTTTGCCTTTCTTCCATTGTATGCTGTGCCTGGAAAATAACTTTACTTCATAGATGTCTGTACCAGTTTGTACAGCAAGCTAAGTTATTAGCCATGGTTACCAACTACTTGGGATAAGCCATCATCTTACTATAGTCTGTAAATCAGATCTTCACATTCAGCGGTGCTGGGTTTTTTTAAATTTTAGCTTTGCATGATATGTATATGTAGCACTTATGGTTTCCCAGCAAGTTCAGCATGTTGCATGAACACGCCCTCTTCTTGTATAGTCCTATGTGTTGTCCTATGCAGTGGTAATTACCTTGCAGGGCAAGTTAGGGTATTTCTGTATTGGGTTCATCTGAGGATGTTTTGTCCACAGAAGGGATCATTTAAGGAAGTTACCCAGAGTGTAATCATATCCAGGTTGCTAACAAAGGTGCAAAACCTGGACTGCCAAAATCTAGGGGAAGACTAGGGCAGTAAAGAGTTGAGGATCTTCTGTATCTCTTTGCTTCATCTAGTGATTTCCTCAATTTTTGCAACATTCTGATTGCCTTCATGCTGACCCATTGTCAGCAGTATGGGAACAATTTTCTGTATATAGTGCCAGGCCGATACATGTGCCCAATTATCTAAAATAATATATTTATTATTGTTAATATAAAGGAAATATTAATGATTTGTCCAGTTCTAGCTTCTATGCTTTGGAATAGAATCAGAATAAGTGATGAGGGAGATTAAAGGGCTAGAAACCAAGTCTTATGCTGAGAGACCGAAGGAGTTGTGCATATTTAGCCTTCAATAGATTGATAGCAGAATATGATGGTACTCTATAAATCCTGCAATCATGTCTCACTGAAGAAGATCAGGATCTCCTCTCTGCGGGATACGCAGGAATGGATTTAAGTTATGGGAAAACACTTATATGTACTTTATACTTTATAGAGTATAAACTGGTGGCTCTTGAAGTATATGTGATCTGAATAATGATACTGAGAAATCTATGGAATAACATTCAATAACAGATATCCTAGATACTACTAAATATTATTAAGTTTGTCTTTGGAAACTGAGCTTTTTTGGAAGGAGAAAGAAACTGCCCAACTTTCTGCAATAATGCTTATGAAAGAAAGTAAAAGGATAAAATCAACTACACGTAGTACTCAACTTGCTTTCAGTTTGTTTAATGACCATTCAAAGTTACAATGGCACTGAAATACGTGACTTATGACTGTTTTTCACACTTATGACTATTGCAGCATCCCCATATCATGTGATCAAAATTCAGATGCTTGGCAACTGGTTCATAGTTATGACCTTTACTGGGTCACATGATCACCTTTTGCAACCTTCTGATAAGCCATGTCAATGAGGAAGCCAGATTCACTTAATAACCAGGTATTAACTTATCAACTGCAGTGATTCACTTAACATCTGTGGCAAGAAAAGTTGTAAAATGGAGCAAAACTCACTAAACAAATGTCTCACTTAACAGCAAAATTTTGGGGCTCAATTGTGGTCGTATGTCAAGGACTACTTGTAATAGAATTTCAATGCTGGAGTCAATTGTGGTCATAAGTCAAGGACTACCTGTAATAAAATTTCAATGCTGGAGTCATGAGCATCTAGAGCAGCGGTTCTCAACCTGTGGGTCACGACCCTTTTGGGGGTTGCACGAGCCTTTCACAGGGGTCGCCTAAGACATCGGAAAACACATATTTCCGATGGTCTTAGGCAGGGCTTGTCAACCGCCTTCTCTCCCCCCCGCGGTGGTGCCTCCCTCCCCCCCTCCGCTCCACCTCACTTGTTTGTGGAAAATATGCTGCTTGGCGGCAGTCTGCATGAACGCTACGAAATCTGCCCTGCAGGGGGTGCATGAAGAGCGCAGATGCAGGGCAAGGCCTGCCCTCCCCAGAGACTCATTGTGCAGCAACCGGATTGACTTCTCGTGCATGCAGGTCAGCGAAGGGGAGGCCGCCGCAGCATCCAACTCCTGCGCCTGTTAGCTGGCGACCCCCGAACTTGCGCTTGTCAGCCAGGAGGTTTGGCGACAGCCGCCGGTCTCCTTTGCCACCCCGTCCATCCTCGACTCCTCCTCCACCTGTTCATGTCGAGCCCACCGGGGCTCGACAGGGAGAGAGGGAGGGAAGGAGGAAGGGACTCCTCCTCCTTTCCTAAGCTTCAAAGCATGATCGGCTTCCCAAGGGCGCCACAATCCTCATGAAAGTGGGGGGGAAGCAAAGGGGATGAGAAAGCTTGCGGCAGGCTCGAAGGAGCACCTGTCAGCGTTGGTGATGAGAAATTCCCCACAAACCCAGGGAAGGGGTGGAGAAAAGGAGCCCCCTTTGGGAGGAAACTGCCACCTTCTTCTCCTTGGCTTTGCGCTCTTCTGTTCCTCGGCAGCCGGGCAGCCAAGCCTCTGCTGGCTGGAACTTCCTTTCCTTCCCTCCCTCTTGGTCTCTTCCTCCTTCCATCCCTCTCCCATTGTCCCTTCCTTCCTTCCTTCCTTCCTTTCTCCCCTTCGCCTTCCTCTTTGTCCCTCCTTCCCTCCCTCTTTCCCCTTGTCCCTTCCGTCCGTCCGTCCTTCCTTCCCTCTTGTCCAGGATCGGGGCGAGCCTCTACAGCTGATCCACGCTTCTGCAGAGCAGCCCAGAAGCAGATCAGCTATAGCAGTTCTCCTTGGCTCCTGCCCAGCAAACTTGCTCGAGCTTTGCTGGAAAATATGCTGCTTGCTAATTTAGCAGAAGCACGAATCAGCTGTAGCCCGGCGCTGATCCTGGCACTTCTGCTAACTTAGCAAGCGGCATGTTTTCCGGCAAAGCTGAGCAAGTGAGCTGGGTGGAGCTCTCCTCTGCCTCTGCCTGTGCACAGGAAGATTTGGCATGTCACCATGGCCACCGGCAACAAAGCCACCAGCCACGCTGGCAGCCTGTCCCCCTCCCCTTGTCCCTTCCTGGGCACGGAGGGGGGGAGGAAGGAAGGGACGAAGAGGGAGGGAAGGAAGGGACAATGAGAGAGGGAAGGAAAGAAGGAACAATGGAAGGGAGGGAGGGAAGGAAGGAAGGAAGGAAGGGAGGGACAAAGAGGGAAGGAAGGAAGGAAGGAAAGAAGGAAGGAAAGAAGGAAGGGACAAGGGGAGAGAGGGAGGGAAGGAGGAAGAGACTAAGAAGGAGGTGAAGAAAAGGAAGGAAAGAAGGAAGGAAGGGACAATGGGAAAGAGGGAGGGAAGGAGGAAGAGACTAAGGGAGGTGAAGGAAAGGAAGGAAAGAAGGAAGGAAGGGACAATGGGAAAGAGGGAGGGAAGGAGGAAGAGACTAAGGGAGGTGAAAGAAAGGAAAGAAGGGACAATGGGAGAGGGAGGGAAGGAGGAAGAGACTGAGGTGAAGGAAAGGAAGAAAAGAAGGAAGGAAGGGACAAGGGGAGAGAAGGGAGGGAAGGAAGGCAGGCACCCACCCCAGTCTCATCCCATAGACCCACAGATTCCCCCCCCACAGGCACTCTGCAACCTGAGTGATCAGCTGGCCACGCTCCCTGGCCATTGATCACGTGATCCTGAGACACTGTGAACGTCATAAGTATGAATCAGTTGTCAAGCATCCGAATGTAAATCACATGACCCTGGGGATGCTGCAACAATCGTAAGTGTGAAAAATGATCATAATTCGCTTTTTCAGTGCTGTTGTACTTCAAACAGTCACTAAGTGAATTGTTGTAAGTCGAGGACTACCTATACTTTCCCATTTTTTCCTCTCTTTTTTTGGTCAAGTTTTTGATACCCCCCGGCCAGCTGGATGGGGGGTTGGGGGTCACCACAACATGAGGAACTGCATTAAAGGGTCGCGGCATTAGGAAAGTTGAGAACCACTGCTCTAGAGGTCTTCTGGCTAATCTAGCACAAGATTTTCTATTCAGCTAAGCCTACACATCAGGTTAAAACATGGTTTATCTTAATTACAGTTAGTTGAGCAAGCCATAGCAGCCTTTCTCGCACATAAATAAATAAATAAATAAATAAATAATAAAATTCACAACATGCAAGGCTGTTGTAGCTTAATATGTTTTTGGAATCTAGCCAAAATATTGGCACATTCGGGTCCATTCGCATCTACTGAGTTAAAGTGTAAAAGAGTGGCAGCATAAAACTTGCTGTCCCCATTGCCAGTCCCTATTCTGCCTTTTTTGTTTGTTTGTTCGTTTTACATCTGCTCCAAGTCACTGCTGATGGCATTGTCCTGGTCTGTAACTATCCCACTCGTTATATTCAAGGTGATCTGTTTTCTCTACTGGCTTTGCCAACTTCCAGCCAACAAGAAAAGCAGCCAGCGACAAACAGAGCATATGGTGTAGGTCTGACTTAGGGAATTTATCTGGCTTTAGCTGTTTCTCCTTCTATAATCAACCTGGCATAGTTATTTATGAGAAATTTGAAGGATCATCATGTCCCAAATGTATCTCCCCATGCCACATGCTCTTCAAAGAGGACACACTTCAGGTCCTTCTCTGAAACAATGTTACCTTGTGGGTACCCAGGAAGTGTGCTCTTTGGAATGATCCCACCCTCACCCCATTGTACAGCTGGCCCTGATCCTACAGGTCATTCGAAAGCCAGTAAGCCTGGCTTTTTTCCAGAATGTTTGACTCAGCAAAGACAAATACATATGGTGAATTAATTTATGTTAGAAAAGTGCAATTAAATTTGAATGCTTATTCATATTTTTTCTTAAACAAAGCCAGGTATTATAATCAGCTTATTGTCTTACATGTATGCTAACTATATATTTGAAGTACAATTGGGAAGAAAACTTTTTTGCTTATAGCATTTTTTCTACAATAAGGTTTTTCTTTGTATACATTTAAATCCTGTTTTTAAATAATGCAATATAAATTAGAACCACCAGTTTTCCAATAGTAGCAATATAACAGTGAAAATGGTGTTGATGAAGTGAATTCTGATCTAAAATCTCTCAGATACAACTAAGCTCAGAAAAAAGGAAAAGCTAACTTAAACAGCAGGGCTATGCGTTAATCTGGATTAAAAAAAGAAAAACACGATTCAAAGCACATGCTGATGCACATTTTGTTGCTATTGGTACCTCCTTAAACCAAACATGCTTTTTCTCAGGATTTTGCTGAAATAGTATGATTCTAGAAAAAGACCAGTTTTAAAGAGGTTGCCAATGCGTGTGATATGTGCCCTGTACCCTTTTGAATCATCTTTTCAAATCCAGACCACTGCATAGCCTTCTTGAATAATGTAATCCAGCCTTTCCCAATTTCCATTAATCCCATCAACATAATCTATTGACAAGCTGACAAGCTGAAATTCAGAGTAAACATATGTGTGAGCTGACACCCCAAGTCTAAATATTTGGTTTTTAAAACACATAACGTGCACAAGATATGCAAACAATAAGCGCATAGCATTTTAAGAAGTTGGTTCAGACAAAATAGAAGCTATAATAGGTAGAACCTTCAGTAGTGTGCTCTTTTAGTCAGAGTTAATAAACATTTGCAACACTAAGTCATTATTTACAACAGCAATTTAAACATGTACCTTCATGATTTATTAAATGTACTGAATACATTGCCTAGTAAATACGGTTTGGGTTGTGGCTTCTTTGGTACAGTTCCAAACTTCATAATCCGTCTGTGTATATGAATTAGTCAGAATTACTGTTATGTTTGATAACAGAATATATTTTACATGCATAAATACCAACAACTTGTGTAATAGACTTGTTTAACTATATAATTGTTCTTCGTGTATTCAAGGAACAGATTTAACATAGGGCAAATACAGTGGTAGTGGGTCACAGCTCTGTTAGAAAATATTAAGGAAGTCAACATTAAGCATATACTGGAATACAATCTGGAAACATTGAATCATCAATGTTTCATTTGATTGCAGAAGTGTGGATCAGGCAAAACAAAAAGAAGTGACATTTCTGCCATAGAAAAGATGCAAGAAAATAAAATATAGTATTGTACTCAAAAATAATAGGAAAAATTGGAATAATAGCAGCTATCAAAAATCAAACAGTCTGAGCGGCTTATCTTTGAATCAAAAGTTTAACATAAAACACAAGAAAAAAGACAGCAACAAAGAATTTTGTGTAGAATCTTTAATAAAGACAAAGGACATAAAGATTAAAAAGGAAGTTATTCTTGTCGACTGCAGCTAGTCATCGACTTAACAACAATTAGTTTAGTGATGGCTCAAAGTTACAACAGCACTGAATACCTTTTTTCATACTTAGGACTGTTAGCCATCCCTAGGATCACATGATCAAAATTCAGATGCTTGGCAACTGACTCATATTTATGACAGCTGTAATGTCCTGGGGTCATATGATCCCTTTTTACAACCTCCTGACAAGCAAAGTCAATGGGGAAGCCAGGTTCACTTAATAACGGTGTTACTAACTTAAGAACTGCACTTAACAACTGTGGCAAGAAAAGTCATAAAATGGGGTAAACATCATTTAATAAATGTCTCACTTAGCAACATAAATGTTGGGCTCAGTTGTGATCATAAGTTGAGGACTACCTGTATTATTATCAGTAAGTCTTTGCCTTAGTTTTTATTTTGATCTGTCTGTTGTGATCAAGATTGTCCTGTACTTGGAAGTATGTATACTTAGTTAATAGATTAAACTTTGATTACTTATAGCTTGGTTGCATTGTTCAGTTCAAAGGATAGTTATATTACAAAGATCAGGTAAAGTTATAACTGATCAGCTCTGTGTGATAAGAATTGTAGGAGCTTGTCCTGAATGAAATGGCTGGCATGTTTAGTATTATAACAACTCTGTCAGTTCTGAATAACAAGATTCAACATCTAGAGCAACTGTAGGAAAATATTGCTTCCTGCTGTAGCAGCTTCAAATTCAGAATGTAAATACTTCATTACTGCAAATAAACATGTCCTCCCATGCTACAGATTCACCCCAGATCTACTATAGTTTTGTTTACTTACTTTTTTTGAGTTATCTACAGTACATGAAGTTGTAGTCAAACTGTGGTTATATGACAGCTGCTATTTTAGACTGCTGTTACAAAGATTGCATGTATATTTGTAATCAGTCTTTTAAGTTATTAAACAACATAATTGCCCTTATTTTAATTAAAGTATGGACATACTGTACAACACAGTAATATTATAATGTACATTTTAAAATTATATATGAGATTGAGCATGCACACCCATTTTTATAGGATATGTTTGAATGACACATGAAGTCATAGCTAAAGTTGATCCATTAGAGTCACATGTACTGGCTTGCTTCTCTCTCAAGTATTCTCTTCAAGATATGCTGAGCATATTAAGCAAGAACATCCTGGTGGCTTGTTTACAGCCTTGTTGTTGAGGGGCATGTGTGTGTGTTTGTGGGGGGAGCTTATTGTGTTTTCTAAATGCAGTCACAAAGAAAATATGTTTTCTTTCTGTCAATATCATTTTTACATTGCAACTGTACTTAAAAAAATATGCTTAAACGCATTTATCTAAATTTAAAAACTGATTGAAGTTAAAGTGTTATGCTGTCCCAAATTTGTAGTCATTAATAATTCTGCTTATTACTAACAGTGGATATTCACTAACTGGATGGAAGAGATGATTGTGGAAATACTCTTAGTGGTGATGATTTAAAAAAATATTTATTGTGATTTATTTGTTATTGTTTGGGTATGAGACGAATGTTTTGGTCTAAAATACAGATTTATAGAATAATATGAATCAGTATAGAGATACCATAGAAAATATTTTTCTCATAGAACCATTGCTGTGATATTCCACTACATATTTAGCAAGTAACAGGCACAAATAGTGTCCCCCATCATTCAAGTGGGTAAATAGTTTAGTTATAAAAAGGGATAAAATGGATATAGGTTTTCATTATCATGATAGCAATATAGTGTAGCAAATATTTTGCATATAGGCATATGTGTATCTGGAGCATGATAGAAACAAGAAACCACTCTCTTTTTACTAATTGGTAGTAATAATTTTCATCTCTGTTTTCTCCATTAATTGAAAAAGCCAGTGGTTTAGCAAGATTTATTTGCTTGCCATAGGCCATATGCAATGACGTGAAATAAAAGATAAATACAGGGCAATTGAAATTAATTGTGCTCAGTTGCTGTGTAAATAAATCCTGGTTATTCAAACATCTGTCTTAAAATGTCTGTTCTTTAATTCTGTTGTTTATGTTACAATGTGCTGTTTAATTTCTTCAATTCTATTGCTGCCCATCTTCAACAAGTAGCTCTGGGTGGTGGAAAAATCATCCAACAATTAGAAATAATTACAGTGTAGTACAAAATTAAATATATATGGCAGCTGAGAAAAAATATCATGGTGAATAGTTACATATTCATGTTTATTTATTTATATATAAAATAACCACAAAGTTAAGTTTATGCTACCTCTCCCATGACATAGAAATATAAAATACTTCTTGTTTAGTATGCTTAGAATTGCTAGAATTGCTTAGTCAGGAAAGCAAGAATGGAATTGTAAATATTTTAAAATATCTTAACCTCTTTTCCTTTTTCTCTTCACAGAGAGAAATGTTGCTCTTTCTTCTTCATGTAAGATAGCTACATATTTGATAAAGCACTTTTAATCAGAGACATCTGACAATAATATAGTATTGGTGCAAGTAATAGAAAGAGGTAAAAACACTGATATAATCCACTAAACCAGATGGTGACTGCACAATTTCCTATAATACATTAAACAAAGTGGGGGAAAAGGTAAAGAAAATTCCAAAAGATATTTAAAAGTCTGAATATAAAACTTGCTGAAATGTACTTTGTGTTTCACATTTTATTTTTCTTTTAATGTGTTAATGTATATGCTTTACTATGTGATATTTTACAATAATACTTTGAACCAATCATGTTATAGTAGTGTATGGCACTTGTTAGTAAACCAGTAACTATTGATAAGTGTATTATAGATGTAGATTTGTATGTTTGTAATCAATCTTTTAAATTATTAAACAACATTATTGCTTTTATTTTAATTTAAGTATGGACATACTGCACATGGTTTAAACACAGTAATATAATTTTATAATTATAATAAAAATTATAATATAAATTTTAAAATTGTATATGAGGTTGAGCATACACACTCTTTTATCAGTTATGTTTAGATGGCATGTGAAATCATAGCTAAAGTTGATCCATTAGAGCAGGGGTGTCAAACTGCCGGCCCGCGGGCCAGTTGTATCATATGGAGGCCGCATCCACCCCAGCTCTGGCAATGCAAAAAAAGTCATGATACGTCACGACACATCACATGACGCAGCAAGTTTGACACCGTGCATTAGAGTCACATGTGCTGTCTTGCTTCTCTCTCAAAAATGTATTTTTCTTTCTTTCTTAGTTTGGGATTTTTTTTTTTAAAAAAAATTACTCTTCCTTTTTTGGGGGGGTTCTATTAATTTTTTTCTTTTAAGTTTAAACGTTCTTAATTCTTTTAGTGGATTTGGGCACTTTTTCATTTTTTTGTAATTTATAATTTGTAAATAAAATTAAAACATATTTTAAACAATTTACACTTCATAGCTTGGATACTCAACTGTATAATAAACAAAGAAATAAAAACTACTATTTTTGTCTTTGGAGAAGAACTTTTGGACATTTTGCTCAGTTTTGACATAGATGGCTTCTTTGACCCCTCTTCCAAGTGGCCTCAATGATTCTCTAAAAGAATGCAAATGACCAGCTGTCTGCATTTTGCAAGCTTTCTTGACACAGTTGTTAAATGAATCACTGCAGTTAGTCAGGAACTCATTCATTAAGTGCGTCTGGCTTCCCCATTGGTTTTGCTTGTCAGAAGGTCACAAAAAGTGATCACATGACCCTGGACACAGCAACAGTCATAAATATGAACGAGTTGCCAAGCATCTGAATTTTGACCACATGGTCACGGGGATGCCGTAAAGGTCGTAACTGTGAAAAATGGTCATAAGTCACATTTTTCGGTGCCATTGTAACTTTGAACGGTCACTAAATGAATTGTTCTTGTTGTGTTCTCCGTTCGTGTGTGAATAATGACGACACATGATGGCAACTAACAATGCTCTTTATTCTCCTACTCCAGCTCCAAGCAAAGAAGCAAAAGCACGCAGCCTTTTATAGGGCTTGAGCCCCAGACAGAGTGAACCAATAAGAGTTCTTCTTTCTTTGCGCCTTGCGCATGCGCACAAGCTGGCGCTGCTCTGTCTGGTCCCAAGCAGCTTTTAGAATGCCCGGGACCATTTGCAACAATTCTGGGCCTGCTGAGTTTCCTCATCAGGCCCAGGACACAACAGTTCTAAGTCGAGGACTACCTGTAGATTAGATCTAGTTAACCTGCCTAGTGGCAAATCATGAGGGGAGTTGTAGTTTAGGAACATCTGGAGGGCCTAGGTGTCCTATCAGCTATATCTCATCATCTTTGAATTCTGTCCTGATGTCTCTACATACCCTAGGGTTAAAATTCTGTATCTTACAGTTAAAGCCAGACTTTTTGTGCTTTAAAGAAAGAGGTAGCCTCATTATGCTTTGTTCTCATTACAAACATATAATTATATTCAACATTTATTCCAGAGTCAGTCAAACATTAACTTGGTTTACTTTTTATTCACACATCAGTATATCTGAGATCAAAGTGCTCAGCTTGTTGCAGATTTTGAATAAAGACTGAACAATACTTTCTTTCTGAACATTGCTGAACAAGCCATTTTACTGCCAATTCCCATGTATGTGTATCCTCTGCTGACCGTGTGTTTTAGAATGGCCTATTTCAACAAATTAGAGAGGATCTGATGAGTTGTTTGGGTTTCTTTACTGATAACTTTTGCACAGGCACGTAATATATTAGAGGGGGAATATTGGGTTGGATTTTGGCTATGTGCACATGGTGGTTTTTTTTCTCTTTTTTATAAAGTTATTTCTAAATGCAGTATAATTGGGACAAGTTTGCCACAAATCTATCTTTTCAATAGCAATACATAACATTTTTCAGGTTTAAATCTACATTTGTCCTTTGAGTAGTACGCCTGACATGAGAAACTGGGGAAAATTAATTTAACCATATTTAATATGACTATTTTCCCATGCCTTTAAGAAGCTTTCTTTTATGAAAACTAAAAATTGCAGTTATTGTACAGGCTCTATGGTTATATACAAAGCTTTCTTGGGACCACAAGTGGATAATATATCTTTTGTACAAATGTTATAGCCCATATGTATAGCAATGGGTTTTCAGAAAATGAAGAGAATGCATAAGCACAATTTTAGATTATTAATACTTAACCATTATTCTACAAGCATCTCTATGTCAGGCCATTTATTCTTCTTAAGTCTTTTTTGTAAGAAACGATGCATCTCATTAAATAAAATAGGGAATATACTAGAATAATACTAGATTATATTGTACACTGCCCAGAGCCCCTGTCTGTGGGAAATGGATGGTTAAGAACTATATATTATAAATACATACATATATACATACATACATACATACTCAAAATTTACAACGGTACTGAAAAAAGTACACACTTTATGACCATTGCAGCATCACGAAGGTCACAAGATCAAAATTCAGATGCTTGGCAACTGGTTCATATTTATGACGGTTGCAGTGTCCCAGGGTCATATGATCTCTTTTTGCAACCTTCTGATAAGCAAAGTCAATGGGGAACCTTGTTACATTTAACAACCTTGTTACTAATTTAACAACTTTAATGATTCACTTAACAACTGCGGCAAGAAAGGTCATAAAATCTGGGCAAAACTCAGTAACTATCTCACTTAACAACAGAAATTTGTGACTCAGTTGTGATCATAAGTTGAGGACTACCTATATGGAAATCATTCAAAACTACAACTGATATCAAAGTAATAACATCCTCAAATTGCAATTGTCTTATTCCAGAATGGGGTTTTTTTTCAACATTACAAGCCAGCCCATCCCTCTGGCATCATCTGATTGTGTCCCACTGAAGAATTAAATCAAGTCTGACTGTCCTTAGGGGATTTCATATCATGCAGAATCAGCTACACCCTGTTATCTGATTTGGGTTCAGCTTATGTAAAGTCATAAAATGAAAAAAACCACACCTCCTACAAACAGCAATTTCAGTCTTCCATGATGTTGAGTGGATACAATAAGAATGAACAGCGCTGCGTATATTTCTTTGTTTTGGTCAGGAAATAGCCATTTTTAGCAAAGTTTCATTCACAGTTGCTCTATGAGTGAGATGGGCAGTCTTCAAATGTGATGTATAAATAAAAATAAATAAATAATTTCCAATGCATTTTTAAAATCCTTCACATTATTACCTAGATGTGTCCCAAAATGATACATTTAACTCACTAATCCCATAGTATGGATTTATGTCATACTATGGTTTGCATTTTTTCAAAACAATAAACAAAGAGACGTGTTTATTGTTATTGGCAGATCACAAATAAAGGGAAAGATAATTTAATCACCCTACCCCAATCTAATGCCTTTGAGAAATTGCAACATTATCTCTAGCAGCATGGCCAATAACTAGGAATAATGGGAGTTGTGGCTCATTACAAAGTGCAACTTACACTATTTATTCTGCAGGATCCAATCTGGGTCAGTCACTGGAGGTTGGATCCTGCAACATTATCCTCGGACACGTATATTTGTCATCATTTGTGACCATTTATTCTCTTACTTTCTTCCTCTCTTGAGGCATAGTGGCACATAGTTAGAATGTAGTATTGCAGGCAAACTCTGCCCACAGCCAGGAGTTTGATCCTGACACAGCATTCCATCCTTCCCCCAATAATTTGGGTCCTTCCAAGGTAAAATGAGTACCCTGATTGTTAGGAGTAATATGCTGATATTTGTAAGCCGCTCAGCGAGTGCTGTAAAGCACAATGGAGTGGTATGTGTCTAAGTGCTATTGCTATTGCTCTTCCTTGTCTCACAATAACATCAGAGCCATTGACAGGTTTCAGGAGGTTCCACCACCATTGATGGACAGGACAGAATGAAAAGCTGGGAATGTTGTGTCTATTTTTAACATTTAAGACATCCTAGAGCTAATCAACAAGATCCTAGTAGTTGTCACAAAGTGAACAGTACACTCCTCATTTTTATTTTATTTATTTTGTATCCTGTCTTTATTATTTTCACGAATAACTCAAGCTAGTGAGCATATCCAGCATACCTTCCTCCTCCTATTTCCTCCATAACAACCTTGTGAGGTCATTGGACTGAGAGAGAGTGACTGGCCCAAAGTCACCCCGCTGGCTTCCATAGCTAAGGCGTGACTTGAACTCCCACTCTCCTACTTTCTAGCCTGGTGCCTTAATCACTAGACCAAACTGGTTCTCTTGACTGTCTATCTAACATTATTTTCTGTAATATTTTGGGGGGATTTACTCCAAAATTGATTTTATGAAACTTTGTATTCTGTAATACAGGCATGCTGAAATCATTTTTCACTCTTGTAGGAGCAACTGAGGCAGCTTCTGATAGGGAAGGTGAGAGGTCACTTCTGCTAAATGGGATAGAGAAGGGGCAGTTATGATCAGCAATACTTAGAGAAAGTATGGCAAGAAAGCAAAGGAAAAAAGTTGGCCAAGGAGATCATAGATGATCCGTTCCTGAGGTAAGACTAGAAAATTTTGAATCAAGAAAACAAATCTTTTTAAAGGTGTTAATGCATTTATAGGCTCTTGCTGGCAATTGTAGGAGAGAAATTCAAGGAAATGCATTTATGTTATCCCTGAAATAGTTATGTGGCTAACTTTTGTATCAATTACAAACATATAGAATGGTCTTTAATTTGCCTTTGATTCTTTCTTTTCACAGAATGAAGAAATGCAAATGCTCCTATATTTGTCGAACACGATTGCGTGTTTTAATACTGTTTTTAACAGTTGTGCTGCTCTTGCTGCTTAAACTCCTCAAAGCTGATTGGATTTTACTCTTTCACAAAGATAGGTATTTTGTAGAACCATTTTTAAGTACCTCATCATTTGTGAAAAACAAGTACAGCTATGAAAAAAAATATGGCCAAGATAAAATTAATTGTTTCTCCATCTATAATCAAGATCCCATGGAGATTGGGAAGTCTTTAGAGATAAAGAGAAAAAAGATTATTGATTTAGAAGATGAAGATGTTGTAGCAATGACCAGTAATTGCCAGGAATACCGAAAAATTAGAGAATATCACCTAAAGGTCGTTTCACCAGAAGAGGAAGAATTTCCTTTAGCTTATTCTCTGGTTGTTCACAAAGATGCCATAATGGTTGAGCGGCTCATTCATACAATATATAGTACTCAGAATATCTACTGCATTCATTATGATCAAAAGTCTTCTAACACTTTCAAACAGGCTTTGGAGAATCTGGCCAAATGCTTCTCCAATATATTCATTGCATCCAAATTGGAAGTGGTTGAGTATGCCTACATTTCAAGGTTGCAGGCAGATTTGAATTGTTTATCCGATTTATTGAAATCTGCAGTTCCATGGAAGTATGTAATTAATTTGTGTGGCCAAGATTTTCCCCTGAGATCAAACTTTGAGCTGGTATATGAATTTAAGAGACTTAATGGAAGTAACATGTTGGAGACTAGTAGACCAAGCAATTATAAAAAAAAAAGATTTACCTATCACTATGAACTTAAAAATAATCATTTTCAATATATAAAGATGCCAATAAAAACTTATATTACAAAGCGTCCACCTACACACAATATTGAAGTTTTTGTAGGCAGTGCCTACTTCGTTTTATGTCGAGCTTTTGTACAGTATATTCTTGGCAATTCCCATGTACAAGATTTTTTGGAATGGTCAAAGGATACTTATTCACCTGATGAACATTTCTGGGCAACTCTTGTTCGTATACCTGGAGTACCTGGAGAGATTTCAAGAGACGCTCACGATATCACAGATCTTCAGAGCAAAACCCGTTTAGTAAAATGGAGCTACTATGAGAACCATCTCTATCCTCCCTGCACTGGTATATATATTCGAAGTGTGTGCATCTATGGAGCTGCAGAACTAAAATGGCTCCTCAACTATGGGCATTGGTTTGCCAACAAGTTTGACTCAAAAGTGGACCCTATTGTAATAAAATGTTTGGCAGAAAAGATTGCAGAACAGCAAAAGCAATGGGTTAGTTTAGCTTCTGAAAAACATGTTATACACAAAATATTTACGGGTATCTCCTAACAGTATGGAATAATTATGAGTAGATTATGTGGTATTTTTAAAGTGAGGAATTGCTGGATGGAGGGGGTTTTTTTGCTTGTCAGAGACATACCTGTAAGGGAATCTCTGGTCTATCTTGGCAAAATGCAAATAAATTTCTACATGTGTAGCTAAAATAAGATGCTCTCTAGTTGAGCACTAAGCAATTAACTTTGCCTGAAATCTTTGGGACAGAGATTATAGGTAGTCCTCATTTAGTGACTATTTCATTTAGTGCCCAATCACAGTTATGATGGTAATGGAAAAGTAATTTTATGACTAGTTCTGATATTTACGACTTTTGCAAAAACAAAAGAAGACTAAAGTAAGACCATGAGCCAGGTGCAATTTCACTTAGGGACTCTTTCACTTAAGAATTGAGTTTCCAATCCCATTTGTGGTTAGTAAACAAGGACTATGTGTACAATCTTCAGCAATAAAAGATTAGAGACAAAGGTTGTGTCCTGAGGCCATGTCTTCTAAAAATGGATAGTAGGTTAACTTTGTGCCAAAGTAACCAGGAAGAAAGGATGCTATCCCAGAGATGCTATGAAATATTCAATGCTTTGAGAAAGCATTCTGGTTGGTGTTCAATGCTCCCTCAGGTTTTGACTAATGTGAAGTTTTTATCTGCATAAATTCTTGTCTCTTATTCATTTTTTATTTCTATATGCAGTCCCACGACTGCCTACACTTTCAAAACCACTGGTTTACCTCATGTAAAACATTTGATTAGATTTTATCTATACTTTTGCTTACTGTCTTGTTTACAAGGACAGAGCTTGAATTTTGTTATAATCATGGATCAAAACTATGCAAAATGAATGAAAACTCTACTAAATTGTATATGCAATTATGAAATGTATGTTGTATGTTAAATCAGCCTTTCTATATATTTAAGGATGTATGTACACTGGGTAATTATAATTTAATTATTTAAATAAGATTTATTTTATTATTTTAATATATTTCAAAAATTCTCTGGAGCAACGAGAGATATAGATAACGCTTTTTCTACACAAATTTCTCCTTTGCCAAAACTGTAAGAAAGAAAGATATCTTTGTTGCTTACATGCAGTTCTCTCATCTTGCTGGTGTCACCATTGTTAATGCAAGTCTGCAATAAGTATTACAAAAAAAATGGTGAATAAATTCTATACAAAATGCAGAATTACAATTCTGCTGGGCGGTACAAGGCAAAGCACGTTTTGATAAGACGTGATGAACACTTCCTCACTCAGTCACTTTTTTAAAAAAATATTTTACAGTTCTAGCTTTAAAAAAAGATTGATAACCTGAACAAAGATTAGTGCCAGTCCTGCCCAGATGCGAGGCAAGGTCGGTGGAAGAAAGCCCGGATGACCCGACAACCACGAACACAACTAGACAGCAGTTGCATGAACAAAATGTACAAGAAATCTTAGGCTGCCAGAACTATTCTATTCTACAAAGCAGGGTAGGCTTCTCTGGCTATGTACACCAGATGCTAAAAAACTAATTAAAAATAAATTTAAAAAGTGTATAATTAATATTTGGCTTTCAAAATAGGGTCAAGCCTAGAATCTTCCTACCTCATTTTTTTCAATCTGAAGCCAGTAATGATTTAACGTTCTTTGTACTTTAAAGTAGCCTGCCTTAACTTTGTATTCAATATGTGGGCTGAACAGCAACTCCCAGAATTCCTAGTTTCTAAAAAATTTGTGAATTGCACCCTCAGCCTATTTATAAAATGCCAAATTGATAAAAGTTGATATAAAAATATAAGAACTTTGTTGTGGCATTTTTTTTTTAAAAAATATTATTTATTATAATTGTTTTCTACCCAATCCACCCTGTAAAAATACTTCATCATTAGCTGGAGAATGACAGGTTGGGAAAGCTAATTTTGCAAAAAGAGTATGTATCTGATGAGTTGTATATGACCAGCCTTCCTGTGGTAGTTGAATATTCTGAAAATTGCAATCCCCAAACATCTGGGTAACGAATGTAAGATTCTTTACAGTAATTAAATAAATTAATTACTGGAGAAGTTCTAGGGATTACTTAAATCGGTTCCCTTTAGATTGAAATGGATAAAAGTTTACAAGCCTTTTGCAACGTTTCCCTTTATTTGCAACATAGAGCTCAAAGATAGTCCTATTGAACAGAAAGCCAAAGTATACTGATCCCATATCAAGTCTCCAGGGAGTTAGCCAGCAATATAATCTGGGAACACATTGTTCTTCTTTTGCAGATTATCTCTAGGAGAGAGGATAAAGGGAAACAGTTTGTTCTATAGGTGTGTCCAGGCATTCTGAGCAATTAGCTAATTTTTCTAGCTAAATTTTCTAACAAAACGCATTGGTGTGTAACTCTAGTGAGACTATTACAAAGCTTCCATTTCTATTTACCCAATTAAAATGGAGCCTGAAATTACATTGAAAACAGCTTGAGTTTAGGACAGAGCTTAAAGAAATAGTTTTCAATATCATGCTATAGATGCCTTTTAAAAATCCTGCTTTAAATAGTTTCATTAAAAGTATTTTCTTTCTTATAGTTAGTATCCTTTGAGAGTCACTGCTGTTTGAACAACATGAGAAATAAAAGGAAGTAATTGCTAGTGCATTGAAGCAGTGAAGTTTCAAATACTGGACTAAGGGAGTAAGGGAAACTTTACTGCATGGCTGATCACAACAAACAGCACTGAGAGAAAGGCCATCTAATAGCCAGTGCAATTCAATATCTATACAAAGCAACAGGAAATCATTTCAGGAAATTTGAGTATAAGTAATTTATATGTTCTAGACAAGCAGTTTTTTCATATCTATATAAATAAAAATGTAAATGTTCGTTTGTTCAAAATCTTAAATCTCCGAAAGTTCTTCACCGAAATTTTGACACAACGTTGCATTCAAATATGCACGTGTTTTTATATACTTATATTATATAGATGTCACACCTGTGACAGGTAAAAACATGCTGTTTTTGAAAAACAGCGCCATTTGTTGGACATAATCTCTACATCTGCACACACAATGGAACAACAAAAAATATTGTATACCCACAAGCATTGTGAAATTAAACATATTACAAATGTGCGCTTTCTCTTTTCTTTCTTTTCCATTTAACTACACTGAGCCACAGCAATGCGTGGCTGGGTACAGCTAGTGACAAATAAAAATAGATATATGGGAGGAAGTACAATATATTTAGACAACTCTGGCTGTCAAGAGTTGGGCTACTGCATTTTACTGCATATAAAAAAACACTTAGCCTAATTGTTTAAATACATAGCAAAGACATGGAATAATACTTATATCAATGGGCAGTCAGTTCATAGTTTGAAATTGATTAAAGATTGAAATTCTGGGTATGAATTATATCTCCCCTTTGTTTTTGTATGGAGTTTTCTTTTGATCTTTTTTGTTTTTTTTACCTTTTTCTGTCTGTTAAAGTATAAAATTAATAATGAAACTGTATATTTAAAATAATACCAATAAACAGTTATAATGCAACTGATTTATTGAAATTCCTGTAATAAGGATCTGGATTGAATCTGAATTTATTTCATAAGAGGACAAAAACATTTTTCTCATCTAACATGGAGTCTTCATTCTTCAAAACAGCAGGAAAGGATTTTTGCAACAAAGTTTAGGAAATTAGCAGCACAATCATTAAACAATTTTAATACTGAGTTTTTGTTTATAGAGTCTATTCACACTGCATTTCTCAAATAATAATGAAGATGAATAGCAAGATTCTGGTCTAAGGATCTTACCAAAAAATGACACTGTGACTGCAATCTAATCAATATTAAACCTATTATGTAGTATTATCTGCTTCCTCAGAATGAAATCTCATTGTTCTGGGTGAGATTTATTTCCTTGGGAGTGTATTTAGAGTTATGGCCTAAAAGGATAAACTTGGGACATGATGGTTACCCCTCTCCAAATGAGTTATAATTATAATTCCCAAACTGTAATTACCAGTTTAAAATACAACATATTTCTCCATGGGGAATGCTGAAGTACACATTTTATTTGATTATTTTTATATCCCAGTTTTACTATTTTCCCCACAACAACAACCCTGTGAGGTGGTGACTGGCCAAAAATCACCCACCTGGCTTTCAGGCCTAAAGTGGGACTAGAACTCACAGTCTTTTGACTTCTAGGTCAGCATTTGAACCATTAAGCCAAACTGGCTCTCAGCTAAAAGTCTGTGGCCTTATTTGAGTTAGGGTGATAGGATTGCACAGTGTCATTCCCTTTTATTAATCTTTACTTTAAATATATCAAGTATAAGATTGTACCAATTCTTATTTGCACTTGCCACACAAGGAACTGATACGATGTGATTATGGGCTATTGATCTATTATGGTTCCAAGGGTTTCCCAGACTTAATGATTCCCCTTCCCCCTTTCCGCAGTAGAGGATCACTTCCACAGGATATCTCAGAACCAGAAAAAGGGCTTACACTATAACCAAAGTGCCAAAAAGGGAATTTCATTTCCTTGTTCTTTTGCTTTTCATTCTGTTGCCCCACTGTTATTTTCCACCAGTCCAAACCTGAATCTATTTTCCACCATTTCAGTATCCATAACTTTTAAAATAGTATCAAAAAATTATAGAAAATATGGCACTCACAAAATCTATGCATTGATAAAAATTTCCATCAGTCAACTGCAAAAGTCACATTGCTTGAATCTGCACATATACTGCATCCTAGGTTTGACATTATAGGAAGAACCTGATGTATATGAAGGCCAACACCAGCTAAAGAACTGGCCACTGTGACTTCATATTCTGGGGATTAGATGAAAAATAATAGTTACTATTATTTAATCAAGATAAAATTATTCTGAAATGCAGGTTTGCAGAACTGAGCATCTCCCTCACTCCTTTCCCTCTGTCTTGCCATCTATCAATCCTCCTCTCTAATTAGACTAATTAGAAACTCGGTGGGCTGTGCAGACCGCCCCCCTTGCTTCGAGTTTGTGAAAAGAGTCCTGAATACCCACCACAGGAGAGCAGCTTTTCAATGGGGCGGTAACAGTGGCCACCATTTATTCCTCCCCATTGAAAAGAGCTCGATTAAAATGTTTGGGAGTTCTTGTTGCCCTGATCTAGCCCTAATTAGGGGGCCAAAGAGATCACATGAAGGGGAGGGGGAGACAGAGATCCCTTCCGAGGCACTGCCATCTTGCCTTTGCTGGACAGATCTGAAGGCAAAAAGAGAAGGGAGGTCCTGGGGGCAGGCGGAGAAAGAGACCCTTAGTCTTTATCTTGGCCTGCCCACAGCGGCAGCGCCTTTCTCCTCCTCCTCCTCCTCCTCCTCCTCCTCCTCCTCCTCCTCCTCCTCCTCCTTTTCAAAAAATGTTCAGTGTTCCTGTCACTTCTTAAAATACTAAAAAGCAAGGACCCTCCAGGCTTGTGCAAAGTGCATATAAATAAATAGCCACATAGTTCAGCCCCACGGAGATTTAAGGGGTGAAAGCATGTCGACTGGATGTTGGAGATTTGTTAGTGGGTCGCCCAGTACACCGACACTTTTATTTTGGTGGTTGGTTTGTTATCCACTCTCAAACAAAGAACTCGTTTTCAGCACACACGATAGATAGCCGGTTCCAGTTTCATCACTTGCCTGCAAGAGGGGAATAAATGCTCCACTTCCTAAATTCCCTTGGAAAGAGCCCATTGTCAAATTCTAAGCGAGATTGGGAGGTGGGGGGAGGGAGAGAATTTTGGAAACCAATTGGAGTAATTCAAGCTTACGAGATTATGCCATATAGACACAGGTAGACGTAGAAAAGCCAACAATCCAACATTATTGTTATTGCTACCATCATTGTCGCCATCATCAACATCGTCGTTAACCGAACAACGTGTATTTCGCAAGGCATATGAGGAGCCAGGGTTAAGGTCGTGCTGACTTTGTTTTCTGGGTTCTGCTAGTTCAGTGGTGGCGAACCTATGGCACGGGTGCCAGAGGCGGCACTCAGAGCCCTCTTTGTGGGCACGTGCACCGTCGCCCCAGTGCTAGGCCTTCAGCTGGGTTTTATAAAACTTTTTCGCTTTAGGCCTCCACCCCGTGTGCAAAAAAAAAAAAAAAAGTTTCAATCAGTCAATTTCAACTTCTCATGGGAAAAAAAAGATCTTGCAAAGTTGGAATTGATTGATTGAACTTTTTAATCCCGCCTAGTCTGCCATTACCACGGCAGCCACGCCCACCCAATGGGCCACGCCCACCCAATGGGCCACGCCCACCCAATGGGCCACACCCACTCGGCACTTGACGATGCATAAGTGGGTTTTGGATTGCAGTTTGGGCACTCAGTCTCTAAAAGGTTCGCCATCATTGTGCTAGTTACATATAAATCAGGAGACTATCCATGCAGGTCTTTGGATGGTGTCTGGATTTAATGGTGAACTGGAAGAATACCAATAAATTAAATTTGAATTCTTGTAGGAAGGGTCACCTATGAGCATCTGGTTCCTAAATCCAGGAAACATAATCAGTTTGTTCTGGATGAGGTTACTCTCACTTTTTTTTTTTTAAAAAAAGAAACCCTATGAGTCAAATTAAGAGAAGAAAAAAGTATACGGTACATACCTCTAATCATATTAACAAAATAATCAAACATCAAAATCAATTATGCTAAGAAAACATTAGGTAAAAGTCCTCAAAATTATATTGCAAACAGAGCATTGATAACAAAAAGATATTGTTTCTTAGCACTTTATCAAAAAATCTATAATAATTATTTTAACCAGGCCCCATGCTGAAAGTCTGCCATTCTTGATATATTTATATTAATTGAAACATTAGAGATCTTCCAAATATCTGCAGCTTTAATGGAGTGATAGATCTAGAATCTTATTAATGATCCTGTTGATTTCAGCTGTAAATATAACAATATTAGAGTAATTCCAAATCATAACAGTTAATTATCTAATTCCTAAACTGCAATAAGACAATTACAAAATAAAAACAAAAAAATTCTCATTATACATTCTCGGAAATATATTTTCTCTGAAATATACATGCAACATTTTTGTCATAATAATAACCATCTGAAATAATTAAGAAACTCACTTTACATTATTTAAAATAGGACAGGATATTCAACTCAGTATTATGTCTTCAAAGTGAGTTGTTAGGTATCTAGTAGTCCTGTTTAAGAGCTCATTTCCAGCGGGGAAAAACAAACCACAGGAACATTGATTGGGCTGTTTCCTACCTAACATATTAGTTGTTGCTCAAACCTGTGTGGTGTTAGATTCCAATTGGATAGATCCAATTGAACTGCTTGTTTCAGTGAAACTCCAAACCAGGTTACAGAAGCACCATTGGTTGCACTTGTCAACTTGGGGTGGAGCTGGACCAGAATAGTGCATCTAACATAGTGCTCTTTGATCTCTCAGAAGGTTTCAATACCATTGATCATGATAACCTTGTAGACATTTTCTGTCATTGAACTTGAATGTGATTGTACTTCCCCATTTGAAACTGGTATACAATCTGGGGGTAAACTTGGACTCACAGCTTCTGACTGAAGAGCAAGTGGCAGCTATGGAAGGGTTGCACTGATACATCTGTTGTACTGTTTCCTTGACCAAGAGACTCTTTAGACTCACACCTTTGGCATCTCATGAATTACAGCAAGGCAATCTAAAGGGATCAGCCTTGAAGAATATTCAAGAGCTACTGTATGGTTGAGAATGCAGTAATGTAAGCAGAGATGGGTATGCCTCATGCCTAGGCAATCCCATTTTTACATGAGCTGCGCTGGCTGCCATTTAGCTTTCAGGTGCAATTCAAAGCACTAGTTTATAATTTATAAAGGCACTTCCTGGTATAGGACTGGTTATTTGAGGAACTGCATGTTTCCAGTTGCTTCTGTCAGTCTGGTGAGAGTGGTCATGCTTCAGATGGTATCATCTAGTAGGCCAAGGAAATCTGCTGTATCAGTTGCAGTGTCTAATGATGATGATGATGATGATAATGATGATGATGATGATGTTGGAAGGTACCCTGGAGGATTCTAGTCCAACCCCTGCTTAGGCAGGAAACCCTATACCATTTCAGACAAATGGTTGTCCAGTCTCTTCTTAAAAACTTCCAGTGTTGGAGCATTCACAGCTTCTGGAGGCAGTTTGTTCCACTGATTAATTGTTCTAACTGTCAGAAAATTTCTCCTTAGTTCTAGGTTGCTTCTCTCTTTGATTAGTTTCCATCCATTGCTTCTTGTCCTGCCTTCAGGTGCTTTGGATAATAGCTTGACTCCCTCTTTTTTGTGGCAGCCCCTGAGATATTGGAACACTGCTATCATGTCACCCCTACTCCTTCTAGACAGGCATGTCAAACTGTTGGCCCACGGGCCAGATGCGTCACACTGAAACCGCGCCCACCCCATTGCTGGCAATGGGGAAAAAAGTTGTGATACGTTGCGCGACATCACGTGATGTCGCAAGTTTGACATGTCTGTCCTAGAATAATATCACCCTAGAGATCTTGA